TATTTTCAATTTAATTTTGTTCTGGGGGTTTTTTTTGTTTTGTTTTCTGTTTTTGAATTTATATCCATATTATAGTTCACTTTGTCCTTGTGTTTTATGACACTTGTTACAATGTATCACCTTCTGGGCTATTTTGTTTTGTTTTTAATCTTAGAGTAAATTGCACACTAAGAACTAAAGGACACCAGACTTTACTAGTCATGTGTGTTTCTCTTGTTCACAGTAATACACAGTTACAGTGATATGAGCTTTAACATAGACCCCCTTGCCTTAATCCTTTGTGTCCTATATTCAGCAACGTGCTGGACACTGGAAGAAATTTTTTTGGTCCATATTAACACGATAGTATCAAACACCTTTCTAACATCAGAAGACGGGTACACTGCAGTCATAAAGAAATAGATCTTATGCTCGGGTTGTGTTGAAATGATAGACATTTAATACTAAAGGGATCATTTTGACTATATTTATATACTTAAATGCACTGTGTTGTTGCCTTGTGGATGGGCTCAGATTTTTGTGTTAATAAGCAGCTGAATAGTGCTCAAAAGTAAGTAATAAGAGTGAGTACTACCACTTTCTAACAATATAAATTATATAGAGGTTTGGAGACTTACATAGCAAGGACCACTAAAACTAGCCAGCTCAACACAGGTTTTTGTTTTTCTGGGTGGCTGGGTTTATGGGTGTTGTATTTATTTTCCAACTAATATATTGAGGAGCAAGCTATGTCATATCATATACTCATAAAGTTACACTTTTTTAGAATTCCATTGAGCCCTTTTAAATGTGAAATTATAGAAATTATTCAACTTAGTAACATAAGTGTTTTTACTTCAGCGCTTGATTAATATCTAAGAGAGTCTCAAATGCTTTGACTTTTTCTCTCTTTTTTCTTTGTCACTCTCTATTCTTTCACTCTCTCACCACCAGAACAGGAACACTGGAGCCTGGAGATAAGCTGCTGGCTATTGACAACATCAGACTTGAAAACTGTTCCAAAGATGACGCGGAGCAGATCCTCCAGCAGTGTGAGGAACTCGTCAAATTAAAAATACGTAAAGATGAAGACAACTCAGGTACTTCTGTGAATATAGTTGTTTCTATATTTGAGGGACAGAGCTCTGACCTGAGATAAGCTAATGTTTTAAGTTTTCTTCAGTTTATTATTTCAGCTACCGTCAGAAAAAAAGAAAGCTGTACTAATGAGGTTTGACCACAAGGTGGCACTATTGTCCAAAACTCTGGGACACCGACACAACTAAAATGGTCTTCATGTGAAACAAAGAATGTATTATAAATTACAACATAAATCCAACATGTTTTTACAATATACTATAATTTTATATAGAAAAATGTGCAGTGACCTATTATGGGAACTGGAAACAACAAGCAGTAGCCTAGAGTCCTAATCCATCTAAGGACTTTTGTGCATGGTCACATATTCACATTTTAACAGTCTTACAGCTTACACCTTGTATTTGTTCATACACATAAACACATTCAAGTTATATAATGTGACGTAAACACACACACACACAAACTAGGTTAGGGACTGTGTAATGAGGGTAAATAATGAGACTGTAGTCATCAGGCACAAACACACACAAGGAGGAAATAACATGTGTGCATGCTATATGATGACAAGGCAGTCTTTTCCTTGGTTACCATGGAAACTGTGTCTTGCCTACCAGTGTAGTCTCAAGAAGCGTTTTGACCTACTTCTGGAATCAAGTGTGTTTGTGTGTGCACATTTCCAGTGAGCAGGTAATGGGATCCAGTATTACTTAGTGACCTGAAGTGTTTTGTGTGCGTGTGCATCAGATAAGAAGCATCCATCAGACGGTATAATGTACTCCTCAGACTTGAAACACTAGATTAATGTGTGTGTGTGTCTCTGTGTGTGACTGCTTGTGCGTGTATGTGTGTTTGTGTGTATCAGATGAGCAGGAGACATCAGGCAGCATCATATACACAGTGGAACTGAAGCGGTACGGAGGCCCTCTGGGTATCACCATCTCTGGCACTGAGGAGCCTTTTGACCCCATCACTATATCAGGCCTAACTAAGAGAGGCCTTGCAGAAAGGTACATACTCAGACACACAAAATCTCTTCTGGGAATTCTAGGTTGCCACTTTGTAGCTCTAAATGAAATTCCCTAGATTTCTGGATAGAGCATTTTTGTATAAATCCAAAGCTGATGAATTGAAAATGAATTGAATATCTCACTATGTCTGTCATGTGTTACATGTCTGTGTTGCTCTGTAACTAAAAAAACAAGAGTACCAGCCAAGCATGGAAGATTGCGTTATTTTACATTAACCAAATGTAGTTATTTTCACAAAAAAAGCAACTCCAAAAGAGAGGTGACTCATGCTCCATGGCTGCAGACTTTTGGAGTTTGAGGTGATGACCCAAATGCAGACGGAACGAGGCGTGAAACGGGAATTAACCAAAAGCGAGACAATTTATTGACTGGTAAGGGTACAAAAACAAAGGCAAAGGAAACCATAAACTCTAACTGAACTGGAAAAAGACAAGAGAAACATGGAAATAAGAAACGTGGAAATCCTGAGATCACAGAAGATTAAACAGACAATCCGACAAGGGACAAAGGAAAACTGACACAAAGTGTACACACAGGGATGATTAGGGAGAAGGAAACACATGGTAACACAGCTGGGATGAATAAACATAACAACACAAGGGAAGCAAAACTAAACACACTGAACACGGGACAAGAGACTGTCAAAATAAACAGGAACCAGACAGAGACATAGACGAAGACACCTGGGCTTGACACAGAGACGGGGATAAACAAACAGGGGGACAAAAGACCCTGACACGACTAAGACACACAGAGGACGAGGGAGCGAGAGGGGTGAAACACAAGGAGAGGAACATGGGGAAAGTAAATGGAGATGAGACATTACCGAGATGCAGACATGACCGAGGAAACCTACACAGAGGACATGACAGACTCTCACAGGAGACACAGGGATGCGATGCACCCTATGCACACATGTCCACTGGCAGATAACAGGATACTGTGTTAGCATAAGGCAACCACATACAATTAAAGCTCACTGCATGTTTGCACAGCATATTGCTAACAAGCAGAACAATTACTGTTGTTGAAGTATATGTCAATGTGACATGTATTTACATTTCTGCAATGGTTAATATCAACTGTGTCACATCAACACAGAATTGAATATATCAGTTGGCAATCCACCAATCATTGGTCCGAGCCAGTTAGATAAAACCAAACAATCAGTGCATCTCCAATTTTCATGTGTTGATATTTTTGTCTCTGCTACAACCAAGCCTATATTCCTTCCTTCCATCCATCCATTTTCCAGATTCTACACCAGAAGTTGAGTGTCCAGCATGTGCCATTTGACACAGAGTAATGACAGATGTGATATTCTGAAACACGAGATGGTAGCTAGTGTCCAAAGCAAGACTGAGAGAAAGATGACATAATGTTTTCCCTGAGTCATAAACATCGATTGGTAAATTCAGCTTACATCCACTCCACCACACAGCACCTTCAGCTTTTATAACAGGCTCACGTGTTATTCCATCAAACTATGTTCACAGAGGCAACATACTACTTTCCCACTTCCAAATACACACACACTGTGACCCCATTTCTCTGAGTCTGTGATGTAATTGCTCTATTTCCCATTCTAAACTGTTGTCGATAAAGCACTCAGACCTGTTGGCTAAAAGCACTCTACAAATAAACTTGGTGCAACTTGACACAGATGAAAGTGCAGGAATACAAACGATAACCACAGTGCTACATCTTACACCGACCCACTTTTTCTCCTTTTCTTTTTTTCTTTTCGGTCAAGTGATTTAATTTTGTTTAACCACCAAAGGGCGTAAGGGCCAGGCACAAACTAGGACCATTATAACTTAGGTCTACCTTATCCGTGTGGGTACATACTGTTCACCAAGAAAGAAAATGCATTCTTCCAGATATCGTTTTTAGTGGCACATGATTTTCTGAAAGTAGCACTAAGTTTAACTTTTTGGCAGTCCTCTTTCTACAAGTCATCTACAGTGCTTTAAAAAATATATAATTAATTTTTGCATATTTATATTTATAGCACATATTTCACTCAATTTAATACTACACAAATAAAAAATAGTTTTTAAATGATGATATTATTTATTAAAAGAAAAGGCTATCCAACCTACCCAACCTACCCCGGGCCAGGGATAGCTCAGTAGGTAGAGTGGTGGCCCCATGATCGGAAGGTCGGGGGTTCAACTCTACTGAACGGCTACCCTGAGGTACCCCTGAGCAAGGTACCGTCCCTACACACTGCTCCCCAGGGCGCTGCATTGGTGGCTGCCTGTCACGGCGAGTGAGGTGAGCCGTGTGGAGGAAATGAAGGAGGATCCAAGTGCAGGCAGTCGTGAAGGTGTAAAGGTGGTTTATTGAACATGAAAGTAAATACAAACGGCAAACGGAGCTCGAACTAAACTAGAGCACAAACCTGAATGAGAACGAGCAGAGGAGAATGACGATGGACAGCAGGGAGAGCACACGGATGTGACATGGTAGATACACAGATGACGCAGGGTGGAATACACAGACGGACCAGCAACTACAATAACGGAGGACATGACTTAAATACACCCAGAGAAACACAGGGGAATTACACACAGGTGGTGGACACAGCTGGGAATGATCAACAAGACGAGACAGAGGTAAAACTGAACACACTCACATGAGACCCAGACCTTCACAATAAAACGAGAACACCACACCAAGACGCAGACCTGACACTGAGAGACAGACAGAATGACACATGGAACCTGAACTAAACTAAACGTGAGATACAACCGAGAACAAATCCTTAAACATGAAACTCAAATAATAAACATCATAATCGTCATCATAAACACAACAAGAGAACAAGAAAACAATCCCTGATGCAAACTAAAACCAAAACATAATAACCTCAAAAATGGAATAACAAAAACATGAAACTCCACATACTGGGTCCAACGGACCCAGACCCGTGACAGCTGCCCACTGCTTCACTGGGTGAATGGGTTAAATGCAGAGGAACTATTTCCCTATGGGGACTAACACATACACATTATTATTATTATTATTATTATTATGTGAAAAAAGTGGTGCCCCTTGCACCTGGTTGTGCCACTCTTGGCAGCAAGAACTGATTTCATGCATTTCGGATAACTGACAATGAGTCTCTCGAGTCACTCTTCTTTTCAGAATTATTTTACTGTATCTCAGCCCCATTGGAGGGTTTTGACGTGCTCAAACGGCTCAGTCACAAATGGTGACCTTCTAAGACAGGTAGGGGCACTGTGTCTGGTGAATACTTCACTGACAAACTTACTGGCTGCCACCTGTGCTGTTGCCCCTCTAACCACACACACCTTAATCTACTTGGAGAAATTGTCAACAAAACCTACCTTGATTTAATAACCTGACAGACTGAACAGGAAGCAACATAAAGTTTGATATCCGCTGCCATTTTTGGCCACAAAAACCTAGACTACAGTTCTACGAGTGCTTGGGAAATACCACGGTGACGTGCAGTGGGGTGGTCATGATAGTAACTGAGCAAGGTACCATGGAGTGTTTAAGGTATTTCAATTGATGCAAACCACATCTGTGCTTTGGGTCTTTATAGTAGAGTAGACCATGGTAAACAAAAGATGATGAGGAACTGTTTCCACTCATGTCTGCACATGGGTCTGTTCCTAGATTTCTGGACAGCTGGGCAGTGACTGGGTCATCTAACTGCATTTGTTTAATATGTGCACGATCTGTCAGTAAAACTGGAGGCATAGTATGGCAATATAAGCTACCAGTGATGTTGCACTCTGGCAAAAAAAATCTGTAGGAACAAGGAGGAAAGTTTTGGAGTCACAAAGACCAGCAGGCTAGTCGGCTGATATCCCATTAGCCGACTAGCCTGCCAGGATGGAACATTAGCCACTTGAGGCTGTTGTAATCTGTATATACTGTATATATAGTTACACGAAGGCCCTTTGCAAAAGATCTGAAAGGTTCAAGAACTCAAATCACAGCTAAGTGCATGGCTTTTCTGATTTATGCAGGGTTAATAGACCTGTGATTATAAAATGTATTCCTAAGATGAATGGGGATGCCAGGTTATAGATTATAGCAAAATGCTGATAAAAACATTTGTTCATTAAGTCAATAGATAGCCAAGGAATACCATCAAGGACACACAGGCTCACAGATGGATCCGTCCACTGGTGAGGTTGGCAAGGATAGGTGTTGTTCTCCAGGATTTAAGCTCATCCTTATCAGAAATCAGAGTTAGTGATAAGCCTAGGTTATGATTGGGTTGGGTTTGGCTCTGCCTTGTTGCAACTTGGGCAAAAGTGAGTTGTGTACCAATTCTGAAATGTAAGAAATATAAAATAAACATAAGTCACCTTTGGTCTGGAGCTCCATGCAAGATCTTACATCAAATTGGGCAGATGATCATGAGAAAAGTGGTGGATCAGCCCAAAACTACATGGGAGGAGCTTGTTAATGACCTAAAGGCAGTTGGGACCACAGTCACCAAGAAGACATTTGGTAACACGCTATGCTGTAATGGACTGCAGCAAAAAGGCACACGTATAGGCCCATCTTACATTTACCAGTGAACCTAAATCTGAATCTAAATGATTCAGAGAAGACTTGGGAAAAGGTTATTTGGTAAGACAAAACCAAAATCAAGCTCTTTGACATCAACTTTGAAGGAGTGCTTAGTATGAGCACAAGAACACCATCCCTATATCCTTAAAAAAACTTATTTGTTATGCTAGGCTTTCTCAAAAAGTGTTTAACATATATGTTTAGTATATGCTTTCATAAGCCTGTGTGTGAGACCTCAAAATGAATATCTTCCTCAAATTAGGTTGGAATATAAAAGACAGTTTTTCCTTTCTTATAGGGCTTTACAAGAAAGTGAAAGTTTTAATGATATTCAAGGGAGGCAGTGTTATTCTTTTCACCTTGTTCTGACCTTAGTCCAGTCATATGGCGGCTTATCTTAGTTTTCCCTTACTTTATCTTATCTTAGTTTTGTATGAACATAAAAGAGTAAGATCTTATCTATAGAAACTCTGTATCACTGTAGTAACACTGTATCACTGCAGACCATTGTTATATATTTTTTTCTATCCAATCGTGTGCCCTACAGTAGTTTGAAAACCATGGAGCCAAGGTAAATACAAATTTGTTTTTCTTTTTCTCTAGCTTTAATTGCTTGCTCTTACTGTATCTAAGTATAAATAATAAAATACAGGTCAGAAAGCCTTCCTAAAATATGAATGTAGCCATGAGCAATACCACTGTGGTGCAGCCCCAGTGTCACTATCCAGTCGCCTGCCCTCTGTTAGATTATAATTGTGTCATACTGAGATTCACCAGTCAGCCTCATATATGTCCAATTTAAAACTAATCCATTTCACACACTTTCCACAACACCACAGGCAAATAGTCACGGCCACACTTATAGCCATATGCTAACATGTCGTTAGCATGGAATCTCTTCGCTGTGAGTGAAGACACAATGGTTCTCCAAAGAAAACCACAGGGGGAAAAACACACACACACAAAAATTGTAACAACAAATCTAGTCAGACACTTAAATCATCTTCACCCAGTTGAATATGGACATGTTAAAGAAGCTAACACAGGACAAGTGTCTTGCCTCTATATTAGCAAAGCAGTTATGAGGAAAATTATAGAGATAACTGGAAAAGCAAAAATGGGTGTGTGTCCTGATAAGATTGATTTTTGTTTGTACATGCTGTCAGTTAACTTTTTTTAGAAAATCAGAATTGGCAAAAATCTGTATTAGTTGGAAAAAATTGTAATCAAAAATAAACCAGTAGCAATAATCTTTGTAAACACTGCAGCTGCTTTTTTGTACATTGATCTTTGATTTTGTAGGAAATGAGAATTTTTGATATTAGTGTATTTTGCGGTATTATTTAAAAATACTAACATGGTGCACTAGAGGTCAAAATATGTTTTCACAAATAACTTTTTTGATAGATATTTAATGGTTTAATGCTATTCAGACCCCTCTAGAGTCCTTTTTAGGCTTATTAACAATCTTCTTGTATAATGATATGTATGAGGTTTAACATTTTTTACTTTTCCTATGTGGGAATAATACAAATTTCTACTTCTGTACCTTTGTGTATCTCGTTACCTATGTAGGACAGGGGCTATACATGTAGGTGATCGGATCTTGGCTATCAACAGTGTCAGCCTGAAAGGGAAGCCGCTGAGCGAAGCCATCCACTTGCTGCAGATGGCTGGAGAGACGGTCACTCTCAAAATAAAAAAACAGCTTGACAGTAAGTATAAAAACTAGTAACAGTAACATGCATTTTAAATCTGTCTTTTGTGCGCAGTGTTGGCTAACGTGTTACCGTTGCCACATTACATCTTTCAGTACCGCCGTAATGTAACACGTTACTGTGCTAAATTCAGTAATCACAGTTACAAATAAGGTGTTACTTGCATTACAAAGGTTCTTCCATTATCTGCACACCAGGTGAATAGAACAAAAACCTTGCGCAGAATCAGATGGTTTCAGTTCCTGTGCAGGAGGTAAAAAAAATAGGAAAGTAATACAGCAATACAGCTTTTGCGGGGAGAAGATATGGAAACCCTGTTGTTTAAAACATGCATACAATATTTGTACTGTATAAGTGGTATGTAACAGGTTAGCTGTTTGCAACTCATATCCTAATAGATCTGATTTAAAACCTGTTTATAGGTAAATGCAGAGAAGAGGTCAGTAGGTTAACCAGTTCAAGTTTCATTTTGTCTCTTATAAGCATTTAATGTTGAAAAATATACATGTAGTAAAAGGTTCACATATGTATTTTACCAAGTTAACAATTGGAGTTAACCTTTAAATTAAATTGGCCTCTTTTTTTTTTCTTCAAGACATAGAAGACAGGAAGACAGCAGATGTAGAGGACACAACAGAAAACGAGATCAGTGACCCTGAGGAGGACGATTTGACAGACAGCCAACAAACCAACAAGCTATCAGAGCTCTACTCCACAACAATACCCAGCGTTGACTCTGCTATGGAGTCATGGGATGGCTCAGGGCTGGATGCAGGCTATGGGAGCCAGGGTAAGCTACATTTGAGCATGTGTAGAAAGTGAAATTTCAGGATGTCTTAACCCTGTAAGAAATATGTTAATGACAAGAAGGAATATATTAAAAGCACTCTTTCTTGTATTTGGTCATTTCATCTATCCTCTTGTAGGTACATACACCCATCAAGCAGCTGGTATCGCTCTACACCCGCATGAGTGGCGTAGTGCCAAGCAGCAACGAAGTACCACGCCTCCTCCTGGACGTCGGAAGAACTACCCGTTTAGTGACGGAGGCTTCAGTGAGGATGACTGGGACAAACCACCAGGGTAGGTCTGAATTTAGTTTTAGCTACAAAGCTGTTCGTTGTGACTGTCTTTTTTTTTTTGTTTATCATACACTTTTCTTTTGATATCACCTTTTTTATTCATAAAAATCCATATAAATGTTGACTTATTGACTAAGGGCCATTGTAGGCTGTCTGCACTCACTTGATTGTGCAGTTTATTTGTGAGTGTGTGTTTTTTATCCCTCAGCAGTAAAAAGAAATGATGGGGTGACCTTGACCTCAAGATCAAGGTGATCTGACCTTGACCTCAAGGTGACATAGATAATAGTTTCTATGGTTCATCAACACTATCTTTTGTCCTGTCTTCCTCTCCTCATACCCAACCGATCATGACAGATGGCTGTGGTTCCCTGAGTCTGGTTCTCCCAGAGGTTTTTTCCTGCCAGTGATGCCAAGTGCTTGCTCATAGGGATAATCAGATTACTCGAGTTTTCTTTGTTTCATTGTAGGGTTTTTACCTGACAATATAAAGCTCCTTGGAGTGATTGCTTTTGTGATGTCAGTTCTATAATAATTATTATATTGTGGAATGATTAGGAATCACAGCTCAGACAGGTCCTTCACTTTTAGTCCCTATCCTTTGACACAGTGTGAAATTGACTGTGATTTCTATCTACTTTTTATATACTCTAAAGCTGTTTTGTTTTCTGTATCTTTTACCCTTTGGCCCGTGTTTGTCTTTTATGTTTGGTGTTATTGAACAGCAATTTGGTCAGCCCTGCTGATGTTTCTAAAGCTGTTTTATGAATAAAGTGCTATGGTATGGTGTGGAATGGTATGATATATTTCACCACTATAGATCTTCAAAATGCATGAGCTTATTTTCTGCAAGAAAGGATTTTATCTTTAACACTGTTTCACTGTGCCTGTATCATCACCAAGAGCTCTTGGCGAAGGGTACACCTCATTGCAGAGATTGAGTCATGAAGTCAGTGCTACTGTGAATATGTTGTACCTGTGTCTTTGTGTATCTCTGTGTAAAGCTGTGATGAGTCAGAAGGCTAAGGCTAGTCAGCATGTTAAAGTTACATAACACTTCTGAGGGTGTACAGCGAGAGAAAGGGATTTTCGAGGAAAAAAACAAAAATCAGTAAAACAATGAAAGTGAATTAATCGTGTTAGTTGGGGACATTCTGGGTTAAATGATTACTTTTGTTCGTTCGGTTTAACCATGACAGATACAGACAGTGTGTGTACAGGTTCTGTGTCCTTAATGCCTTTTTGTAAGTGAAAGTTCCAGTGCTAAATCAGGCACACTGCATGTCATGTAGCCAACTACTCTCTGCACTTTAGATAAATAAATATCATAATTATAATAATTATAATCATAATAATAAAATATTTAAGAGAAAAATACATTTCGCACAATACACAACGTGTGATCAAAAGGCAGTTCCATGAAGATAAAGCTTAAATATGTTTGTCTTGCTTTGCATGGTTTTCCCCTTTTGTAGTACTCAGCAACAGAGAAAATCCAGCAAAATGGGTGTGGAAACTTGTTTTATTTGTGTGTCTGTTTTTGTGTGGCAGATTTATTGGCCAGCAACCGGATGGCATTCTATTGGATCCAGAAGACAGTTTCTGGTGTCAAGCTCTGGAGGACCTGGAGACCTGTGGCCAGTCAGAACTACTAAGAGAAATAGAGGTTAGTTAGTATTTTTCACAACTATTTGACTTCAAGTGTAAAATTGGCATCAAAGATGAATACTGGCCTCAATCAGCATACAGTGCTCACTGAAGTGGATTTGCACTTGAGTCAAAGGGTTTTAACAACAGTTTTGTATAGCATGTTTAGTATTTGCATTCTTTTATTTGCCTGATGCTGTATCTATATATACACTTCATAGCTAATTTGTCTTTTATACTGAAGAGCAACATGTAAAGACTAAAGCAAGGCTTTAGTGGATATGATTGCAGGCATTTTAGTTCTGCTACGTATAACCCCTCAACATAGCATTATAAATCCCCCTTTATGTACACTCATTGATGTAATAGCAAACCAAATCAAATCACTTTTATTGTCACATGACATGTACAGGTACACTGGTACAGCACATACGAGTCCTTGAACTTGCGAATTCTTGTGTGCAAGCTTCACAAGCAACAGAGGTGTGCGAAATACAATAACATAAGAACAAACACAATATAAGAACTGGAATCGCATTACTGAATATGTATACTAAATATGTATATACACATATCTGTGTGTGTGTGTGTCTGTGTGTGTGTGTATACATATGTATAAAATTATCCATCCATCAATTCGCTTCCGCTTATTCTTTTATAGGGTTGCGGGGGGCGCTGGAGCCTATCCCAGCTGTCATAGGGCGAGAGGTGGGGTACACAGGGCTAATACACAGAGACAGACAACCATTCGCGCTCACATTCACACGCACCTATGTAGCAATTTGATTAATCAATTAACCTATCCCCACAAAACTGCATGTCTTTGGACAGTGGGAGGAAGCTGGAGTACCTGGAGGGAACCCATGCAAGCACGGGGAGAACATGCAAACTCTACACAGAAAGACCCCGGCCTGATGGGGGAATTGAAATCAGGACCACCTTGCTGTGCGGCAACAGTGCTAACCACCGTGCCACCGTGCTGCCATGTATAAAATGGCAATGGTATTTAATGTATAAAATGAAAAAAGATAAAATATACAGAGGTCAGCAGTTGGATATTGTGCAAAACAAGTGGCATTTATGTACAATATGGATGTTGAAGTTCCGGTAAGTGAAGGTGAGGTGTCTATGAAGTGTTCAGCAGTCTGATGGCCTGATAGAAAAAGCTGTCTCTCAATCTGCTGGTTCGGGACTGGATACTGCAGTATCTCCTGCCTGATGGAAGTAGTCTGAACAGTTTATGGCTTGGGTGGCTGGATTCTTTGATGGTCCTCCCGACTTTCCTCAGGCACTGCTTCCTGCAGATGTCCTGGAGGGAGGGAAGCTCACCTCCTATTATCCTTTCGGCACATTGCACCACTCTCCGGAGAGCTTTTATTTGTACTAACCATGTGAGATCCTCCACCAGATGTACACCTAGGAAACGGAAGCTGCTCACTCTCTCCACAGCAGCTCCGTTGATGGTGATGGGGGTGTGTGCTTCTCTGCACCTCCTGAAGTCCACTATCAACTCCTCTGTCTTTGCAACGTTGAGGGTGAGATGGTTGTCTCAGTGGGTCAGGGCGCTGACCTCCTCCCTGTAAGCCGTCTCATCACCTTTGGTGATAAGACCCACCACTGTAGTGTCGTCCACATACTTCAAAATGATGTTGGAGTTGCTAGTGGCCGTGCAGTCGTAGGTGTAGAGTGAGTACAGGAGAGGCCTCAGTACACACCCCTGTGGAGCACCAGTGTTCATTATGACGGGGGATGAGGTGATGCTGCCCAGTCTGACCAATAGTATTTAAACCAGTAACAAATTGTGCTGAACGTATGAATGTTTGTCAAACAATCACATTGGCAAGCACTCAATGTCTCCAAATGGTTGGTTACAAAGCGGTAACTCAACTTGTTTCAATTCATTGCAGGCATCCATCATGACAGGCACAGCCATCAGTCTTGGTGTAGATGGTGTCAACAAGCCTCCATCTGAGCCCATACTGACCCACAGCAGGATGAGCCCATTGCGGCGAAATTCTCTCCTGCATCAAGGCAACTTGCACCACCAAGGAACACACCTCCATCAGGGTGCCCATCTTCACGAGGAAGCCCACCTTCATGAAGAGGCTCAACTTCACCAAGGTTAGTCACTGATATGACACAACTAAGGGTGGTTGTTTCCAAATTTTAAACAGAAAAATATAGTAAAGTATCATTTTATACCATGTATAGAAGGATTACTTGTTAAACAGTTGCTTAAAAACACTTGCAATATGTTTGCCACTCAGACCCCCATCTACACGAGGAGGCCCATTTCAACCAGGAATTGCACCTACAACAAGGGGTTCACATTCACCAAGATATCCAATCCCCTCTCCTGCACCATGAGCCCAAGTCAAAGGCCTCACTGAGAGTATCAGAGAGGACATGGGAGTCCCGTCGGATCAAAGAAGAGATGCAGGGTATTCTGTCACCAACACCACTAGAGCTTCACAAAGTGAGTTCAGAGAGAACTGGAAAAAATATGTTTTCGATGTGGGTTAGGATGAAATATTGAGAATATTAGGTAAACTTGCAGTAGATAATTAGAATTCAACCAAAAATATCAATGTAACCATTCAAGCTGACATTGCTGTTAAAGTTTGTAAGCATTGGTATCTGGTCCAAACTTTAAAGTACACATTTTGACTTGACATGTCAAACACTGTCATTACTAATAACTTGAATAATATCCCCTTTCTAGCTAGCATGCATAGTGAGTTCTAGTTTACTCTTATGAGGTTTGAAATGTTCTTCTTTACAGTGCAGAGTATTATGTAATACAGTATAAATACCCAGCCTCCCTGTTATGCAAGTGACTACATGTAGTTCAGCCTTCCATGAATTTACAGTCACAATTTGAGGAGACGAGGGCCAAGTGAAACATGTACAGCTCAGAGCCAGAATGAGAAATACATGTTTTATCCATAGAGAGAAAATACATCACAGTGAACAACTGTTACAGCCTTAAGTCATGCCTCGTTAATCAATCATACAACATTTCAGATGAATGTCATAATGCTGCTGCATTTTTGGTTTTGTATCCAAAAGGTACAGCAAAAAATCTGGATTGCATTACCAATAATAAAGACTTTATCTTACAGTTGTCCATTATATTATATGGCTTTGTCCATTTATTCGGCTTTTGGTTCCTGCTTTGTGGCACATGGCAGTTCACTGAAGAAAGACGTCTATTATCAGCACAATTGTCATTATCATTTTTTCCGTTTATTCTTTAGGACCTTGTATTACAAATAAACTTTCAGCTGCGAATACACACCCAGAAAGCAATCAGGTTAAAATGTTTACATGGTAAAATATTTATTTGGATCAGTTTACAAAATAGTTTATTCCACCCTAAAGTAATAAATGTCAGTTTGTGTGCATTTATTCTGGTCGTCCTGTTTAATGAGCATTTTTATTCTGCTTGGGATCTTAAACCAGTTAGAATTGGATCTGGATCTCAGGCTAAAAATCTGTTTATTTTAGCATCTGGTGTTGGTTTGGTTTTAATTTGCATACAAAACTTTTAATTTAGACAAATTTTTGTACTTTGATTAAATAAATTTGAATATGTTAATTTATCAGTGACATTTCTTTGTCTAAATTTCATGTGTTGCGCAGCTTTCTTTATGTTTGTGTGCAGTTATCATGGTTACAAGTGTTATTCCCATCCACAGAGAAACTTATTGTTCCTGCAGTGACACAACAGATATTTTGAGACAGTTTCATCAGACGGGTTGACATGTGAATAGTCTTTTTGTTCTGTTGTCTTGATTAGGAGCACAAGATACTAGCAAATTACATTTTATTACTCAACCTCACATCCTTGTGTTCTGTCACTAGGTAACAGTGATAAAGGACCCAGAGAGTGATGACTTTGGCTTTAGCGTGTCAGATGGTTTCTTGGAAAAAGGTGTTTATGTCAACATGATCAGACCTGATGGCCCTGCTGACAGAGCCGGGCTTAGACCCTATGACAGGATCCTGCAGGTGATGATGATGATAATAATTAGTGTACTGCCCATCATTGCATCCCTAATTCTAATATAGTTTTTTGTTGTGAAGAAAAAAAAAAGCTCACTCTGTCCTCAGCATTTGGAAAAATCCTTTGCATCATATTTTGTTATGCTTACATGTAGTTATCTTCACGTCCCCCTCTTTTTTTTGTTTGCTAAATTAAAAATGTCTACAGTTATGCAAATTACCAAAGTAACCATTGGCTTAATCTTTTTGACTGTATTTAGGTGAACCATGTAAGGACGAGAGACTTTGACTGTTGTCTGGCCGTACCTCTCATCACAGAAGCAGGAGACAGACTTGAACTGGTCATCAGCCGCAACCCACTTGCCAATGATGACCCAGAGGACAATAACAACACTTTAGACCACGCACTTGACCTGTAACACAAATACATACACGTGCACAAAACATACAGAAGACATATTGTAACTGGTGATGAAGCATAAACTTATACATAGTGGAACTGGCCCAAAAACGCAGACACACACTCACTCACACACACACTCCACCGGCTTGCAGTATATCTGTTTAAATACAGAGACTCCTACTGGAACACACATCCTAACACGTGCATGCTCACATAGTCTCCCCATCCCATTTACACTGGGTTGAACTGCTTTTACACAGTACGGTCTATATGAAAGCATCACCACAATACAGAAAAACACACCAAAAGCTCTCCCGATTACTGGCTGGACTCACAGTGTTGTTTCGATTTCAACAATGACTTACTCGGCACTTTAAATAGCCATTTTTACTCATTTTAACCTGCAATACGGGTAAGATTATTTCAGTTTTTATTGCAAGGCCATATGCTCCCATGAACCTACAGTACTTGCACCTGAGAGATCTGCCTTATACAATATTGTAAATGATTTTACCGGAGAAAAATTCTCAGTTTCGGGTTTCCATTTGTTTCACAGAAGGTTACTAAGTACTAACAGAAAACGGAACAAACAGTTCATAATGGGAGTGTGTCTATAATAAATGTAGCCATTTTAGAATTTCATAATGCTGCTAAGATTCTGCTCAAACACTGCTGCTCACTTGACATTACCAAGAAAAAAACAAAATTCTGGAGTGGTCAAGTATAGCTCTTTTTTTCAAGGCAGACTTCTCTATTGGATCTTGCTGCACATTATAATGTCACTTTGGTGACATCACAACGCTGATTTATGAAGATGTCATCAGTGATGCCATCACAACTGCCAAACTGTTATTTTGTTTCATGCTATCATAAAATGAAAGTGAAAGGAGGGAAGGGCGTAATTTCTGCTCCCAATGAAAAATGGTGTCTTAAGTGGAATTGACCAATCACGGCTTTTGCTACACCATAAATGAGCATGAGTGGCTGTGCCCCAGAACAAACTGTACTGCCAAACGAAGAACATCTACCTGCATTTGAAATGTACCAAATGTTATGACATTATCCACTATATCAATAGTTGTCTGAGATCACTGGGTTCACCTCATCATATTTCATTGCAAGACTACAATGTCAAGCAACAGTAGCATTTCAAATTCATTTCAAATCGCAAAATTATTAGATTTGAGGCTCAGAGTGATTTAATGTAACATCTGTTTGTCTTTATTGGCATATTTGTGTAAGGATGTGTGCCGCAGAATAAATTAACTAGCAGCTAGTTTAATTTTAAGATGTTAAGTCTGATTTATATAATCCAACAACAAAAGGATCATTTCACTTACCAGCGACCTCAAAACTAATATATACTGTGAGCCACTGGGACCATTCTTGGAGAAGAATGCCTAAGCAGTGAATAAAGCTGTTCCCAATAGCAGGCAGTGTCAACACAATGACAAGTGTGATTTAGGAGGATCCATAGGAATTAAAATATTCATAATTTTCCATTGGAGTATCACTTATAAGTATGAATCATCGTGTTTTCATTTGTCCAGCATGAGATCAGCATTTATGGTTGTGGGCCATATGCAGTAATGCCCGAGTGTCATGCCGCCATATTTTACAGAAGAGACAAGACACAGTTGTTCCCGATATGTTCCAGAACTGGAATATTACCAAACTGGAATATTTGATAATATTCTATTTTTTGTTTTCTTTTTTATTATATAATCTGTATTTCTTCTACACATCTAATAAGGAAGTGGTATACAGTTGCTTGTGATCTGCAGCCTCACCACTAAACCCTATGTGGTCCTTGAGGAAGATTCAATTATTGAAGAGTCTCATTGTCATGGATCATTTATGCTGTTGTATAGATGTTAAGGCAGTGGGAACAACAAGCAACAAGTCATAAAGAAGTAACATTCTCTTTGTTGTGGCTTTTAATTTAACAGCCTTTTGAACTATTCAAATAATAGCTATAGAGCACTACTGCTGTTTGGATTTATTGGTAACACTCACCCTTTTGCACAAAGATTATGAACAAAGTCAATAGCATCATCTGCTATCAGACCTACTACACTAGGTTGCTGGTGAAGCCAGACTATGGACAAATTTCCGACACACACATTCTTACACAAAAGGCTCTGATAACAAAGGAAATGAAACCGTACAGTGTGTGTTATGCATTTATTATCAAGCCATTTTGTTGTGTCTTTCATGAATGTCTGTTTATGATGTGTAATTTATATGTGAGTGTATCAGCAGGTTCTATTCCAAGGTGCAATTGGAAATTTCCAGAGTTCGGCCTGAGTTAAACTGAGCCACTATCCTTTAATGGTCAGCACCCTTTGAAGCACTGTGAGCATTCCTGACTACTTGTGTGTGCTCATTTGCAATTTCACCATGGATCCAAGATTGAACTAAGAACAAACATTAGTTTGAACAGAGTGTGTGCCAAATGTTATGTCAAGGATTGAGAGCTGGTTTTCCCACTATTAACCTTCACCACAACATTAAGTGTTGTGGTTTCCTTGACTGACAGCTCATTAGTGCAAGATTCTAATCAGTTCACATAATGCTGACTATTGGGAAAATAGTAAACCTTTCTCTTCTTCCTAAAGCCTCCCCTGCTAACTTTTGATTAGCAACCTCGTCACATCTTACAGATCCCTTCTTGAACTAAACCTGATCTTAGTTGTGCGATAGTTTTAAAGCCCTAAGTATATTTCTACTTCTACTGCTAAGGGAATGTTAATTTCTAATTCAAGAGACAGCCAACTAGAACCTTACACCTGCAATGTGGTTAGACACACAATCTGTATTTTTACACCACTGACGCCTCATTAATGAATGAGACTACAGTGTCCAAGGCCAAAGGCAGTACATCAGGTCAGAAGCACAACAAGTAGCATTTTTTTTTTAGTTTGGAGTGGTGCACCATTAATATTTAACAGAGCTAGTCCTAGCTGTAGCATCATCTTGTACAGCTGCAATTTATTTATTTATTTGATTTATTCTTCTTTGTGTCAACATAAGCTGTGACTCATCAGCCATCATACTAACCTGTTTTGGGTTCGACTTTCCCTAAAACTAAATTTCAGGCTGCTTGATTTTATAATCAAGGGCACTGTGCATCCGACTAACAATAGTCAGAATGCTCAAAGTAGCTGGAGCACTGAAATACCCTTCACACAGAAACTTTAGAACTTACAAGTCTTCAAGTTTCAAGTTTTGCAACCCCAGACATTAATTCCATTTCCTTCAGACCCCTAATTTCTCATGATTTTTTCTTATTCCTGCCAAAAATGTGTTTGCTCCAATTATCTTTGGATTAACTGAAATTGGGCTGGCTCTTGTTCCCTCCTACTGATCTTGGCAGTTTATGAATGTGCTGTGCAAAGGTAGGTGCTTAAATTCTACAAAGTAGCAGTTAACTTAAATAAATTGCAGTAAACAGAATAAAACTAAAATCAATCTCTGGTTTTGCTACCATTTTCCACCAAAACAGCACCAATCTTTTACACTTTAAGCTAACTGGCATCATCCAAATATTTCTAAGAACCTACCACAGTTCACTTCTTTGTCTTCTTTAATCCTATTGATAGACATGATGAAGCCATACAATTTCAAAGAAACTGCTCATCTATGTATGGGTTGCTCTTAGTTAACATTTAAATACTTTACTGCAGTATTTTATAAATGCGCAAGTTGCAAGATCAAGGTTTTGTCCTTTTTGAGGAAAAAAAACAAATCTAAACATCCTTTGCACACTTGTGTGTGTACACATATTAGCATGAATTATGGTGAACAAAACTATATGGAGTATATGATGGATACATCGTCAGAATAAGGATATTATTATAAGTGAGTAATAGAACAGCATTTTTTCTCGACAAGACTGACAAAAAAAACTAAACTTTGAGAGAGTCACAACCCCTGTTCCTACCATTTTCTTATGTTGTTATGTAACAGAATTCAGCGGCACCCTATAAGAATTTCCATGTCTGTATGGGTGTGAATAACAAAACATATACAGAAGACTTCTATTTGTCAACGTTTCTCTGTCTAATACATGTATGTGCAAAAAATGTCCACTACTTCTGGGCATACACTGTTTCAGAGGTGTGTGTGTGTTTGTGTGTATGTGTCTCTCTGTGTGTGTGTGTGTGTGTGTAAACTAATTTGTGTACATTTCATTGTACAGTAGTGAGGTTTTAAAGGATTGTGGGCCTTTATATTTTTATTTCCAAAAACCGGAAAAGGCTTAAAATAGTGTAAACTCAACACACATACAAAAAAGGGACATTTACTTCTCTCCAAGCACTTACTGCTGAATATAAAGCACACTGTTGAATACCATGCACTGTAAGTATTTTCATGTACAATGGAACAAACTTTTGTAAAGCAACAAAAAATGAAAATGCTGAGAAAAGCCTTCTGAATTGTTTTTTTGTTTGTTTGTTTTTTTCTTTTATGTATGTATGTGGCCATGTATACTCCCTATGCATTTTTGGGTCAAATGTCAGTTTAAAGCCCAATCCAGAACCGTAACAACTGTTCCGCGCGGATAAGTTTATAATACAAAAAATGTTATTTAATTCCCTGTGCTTTTTCGATTTTGGAGAAAATAAAAATGTTCATGTGAAGATTTAATGGTAATGTACCACATTTTATTAGACTAGCTTGTTGGCATTACTCCCCTGAATCCATTAAGCGATTTCAGTACATTAGATAAGTTATTACATAATCCACCATATATTACATCATCAGCTAAAGTAAAGCCCTTTCACAAGCCCACGCCTGCTCAGTCACTCACAAATATACCATGTAAACATGGTTAATCTTGTCGTACAGCTTAAATAAAGGGCGATTCACCTTCTGACCAGAGGATGCTAGTTCATGGCTATTGAGCAGTAAGGAAAGCCAAACTAGGTAAATGTTACTGGGTAATTACTTTATGCTTCTATAACAAGTTCCTGTAGGGGAGAGAGCACATGTTGCTTTTTCTACCGCACGAGTTGTCAATGTGCAACGTAAGCCAGTCATGTACTCATGATTTTGGTTGGGAGACTACAGTCAAATATTTGTGTTACACCTTTCTATTAGCTGTGTCTGTAGCCAGGACAATCTTTTGGCTCTTTATTTTTATATTTGGTGTGCATTTTGTTTTGTTTTTTAACATGCAGTGTCTAAATTGGAGAGCCTCAGCTGCAGCAAACTGTGGGTAGCAAAACATTCAATGGCTGCAAGGAAACTACACTATCTTGTCACCTCTTGTCAACTCAACAAATCAGAAAATTACCAGTAACAGATAAATAATGTTAGCTGAACACTAGCAAGTTGTTACAACTAGCAAACTATAGCACCTACCAATCTGACCATTAGTTATACATAAATAACAAATACAATTGTGACAGCAAAACAGTGTATTAGCTATTTATAGCCATTTTATTCACAACTTGCCACAATAAGTGAGCTGCAACAAATCTACTTAAACTAACCAGCTATAAGTAGGCTTGTTGCTGAGAACTAGACAATGAGTCAATAAGATGTCTTGTTAGCTTACTGGCCTGTTTAATGACAGTTGTTGATGAGCTAACTTAAATTTCTTCTCCGATATCTAGCCAGTTAACCTATTTAGCTCAATGATAAACACAAACACTGACTTCTTCGTTGCAGTCAGCGTAATTATGACTTGAAACTGAGAAAATGATGTCATGCTGCACATTTCAAAAGTAGGAAATGTCAGTGTCTCCAGTCTTTGTTCCTTTTTTTTTTTTTTATTAATGTGTTTATTTTTTTAATTATGTTTCATGCTTTATTTTTTAAAGATATTTTGATTTGTTCTTTTGCCTAATATGTGTTTGGATGTCAAAGTTGCTACGGTTCTGGACTGGGCTATTAATAATGTACGCATTGATATTGTGTATTTTTTTTCCAAACTGTGTAAAGTTCTATTCTATGTAATATAGTATTTTTCTATGACAGTATGCTCTTCCAAAACATAGGAAGAAAATACAAAATGAAAAATAAAACGTATAACTTTGTTGTTGTCATTTTGATTTGTTTGTTTGTTTGTTTGTTTGTTTGTTTGTTTCATTTTCTAAGAAACAAAGAGTGTACTGCTATACTTCTCTTTTTGAGAAAAGAAAAGATTGCAAAGAAAAAAAATAAAATGTCTAATTTTATGTTGGATGTGTGGATTGTGTTTATTTTGGTAAATCTTTGTGACCAATGGAAAACAATGGACATTCATAAGAGATTATCTTTGGTCAGGATAAGCTCCTTAAATCAAACCTTTATATGCAAAAATTTTCTATCCAGGGAATTTGAACAAGACCTCATTTTACAACTAAAGAGATCAGGTTTAATTTTGGTTCTTCACCCCAAAGCAAACTTGCAGTGGAGGTAATGCTTCCTAGAGAAGCACAAAATGGAGCAGAGTAATCACATTTCTACCACCTACACTGGGGGTGCTCAGGCTAGGGACTCAGTCGTCCTACTGGGAGACAGAAATTTGAAATAAATTTGCAAGCATTTCAAGCATAAGTGTTTCACTTCACATCTTTATGGGGGTATTGTGTGTAGAATCTTGAGGTGAAAAATTAATTTAATCCACAATGTAATAAGGCTGTAACATGACAAAATGTGAAATAAGTAAACGTCCCCCAATGTGAAACTGGACGGCCTTTCATGATACTCTATGTTTTACTGTTTTTCTGAGCACATAATCTTGTGTTATTAGATCCCTTATCTAAGAGATTGAATTAATGGTTATACTGCCCAACAGAATGGACTTGATCCTGGAGGCAGACCACCCTATACAATTTATATGCCTTCATCAGTTCGATTACAGGTAATTCATTGGGCTCACACTACTAAGTTCACTTGTTATCCCAGGTGTAATCACACAATTACTTTCCTCTGGACATTTTTTTAGTGGACAGGCCTAGTCAGGGATGTGTAACAACATGTGTCTGTCCCTACTCTGTTTGTGCTTAAAACACAGACTTTCCGTTGTCTATCAGCTCATTTACATAGATCCTTAGCTGGGCATCCATGGTCCCAAATTGTATTGGATTTTTATCACCTATCTGTAACCATGAACAGGTAACACAACCATCCCAACTTTAATCAATTGTTTTTCCAGGGCTTTTCATTTTATAGCCCTTCCCAAGCTGCCTTCAGCCTTATGCTCAGTCTCCATGGCATTCCACTGGACGTTGTCTGACCAGGGTACACAATTCACCTCAATTCACCTCCAGCTTCTGCTTCTCTTCTATCTCCAGACTTAAACAAAAACTGAAAGGACCAATTAGGAGTTGGAGGCAACCCACAATATACTGTTTCATCTAATTAAACAGCCTGGAGCTCAAAACTGTCTTGGGTGGAATACACCCATAATGCCATGATCTTCATGGCACCTATCATTAATCCTATGATTGTACATCTAAAACGGCCCAGAAACCCAATGATTCAAAACTCATTTGATGTTTCCCAGCTAGAAATTTTTTGTTCCAGTCCTGTGGGAGACCCTTCCTGTTTCCTCTGTGTTTTTAACTGTTTTTGAATCTGTTTTGTCCTGAACTTACGTCACTCTCTTCTGTACAGATGCTTTTTGCCCTTAGTTTCTAAAAGAGACATTGATGATGAGACAGCTGTGGAGCTTAGTGTTTGAAGAAATCACCTGCCTGCCCCTGTCACTGACCCCACTCTAGAATCTCACAGTTTCAACCTGTAAAACTTTTTGATTTCGATATACCTTTTCAGCTTTTAGTACTGTTTCCAGCACCTCAATCCTGGTTTGGTTCCTTGAGACATGCATATGGATCTTTTGAAAGGCTTGTTTCCGTTTTTAGAAAAAAGACATGTATTAGAACCAGTTTATGTCTGTATTTCTATTTTGAAAACTCTGTACATTTTTACTCTAACAAACGACATGGGTATTTTTGCACATGCAAGAGTGTTTTCTACTGTACATTTTGCTTTTGCTGACGGAATTATTCCCATGAGTCGACTGTTATGTAAGAGATCTAACACACAACATGCAAAAAAGTGTTAGCATACACACAGTCAGGCACACACACTATTGCTTACATAGTAAGCAATAACATATGGGTAGAACTTTAGTGCCCAGTGCACACTTTGTTATATTCACATGTGCTTAAACATTCAAAAGCAGTGGTGGAAAATAGCTTAAAGCTGAGGACATAAAACATATAAGGAGTAAGCAAACGACCTGTGATGACTGAAGTTCCATATCTGTAAGTTTTGTATTACAGTGAAAAAACAATATTGGAGTAGTTTTCCTCCAGCATGCAGGTCACAAATCTTGATTATACAAAGATAGGCTATGGAAAAGTACATAAGATGTGCCCTTGTCCCTTTCAAGTGACCACAACATCCTGGGATCAAAACTGTCCTCATTTGATTTTTTTCTCATCCCTCAGAGCCCTTCCATTTCCTGTTCTCTTCTATTTTTGTTAGCAGAACAAAAGGCAAAAGTAACATGAAACACTAATCAAAAAAACACATTTGTTTTTGCTTTGTGTCAATGCCAAAAAACTGCCTTGAAGATAAAACTGAAAAAAAGAGAAAAAAAAGATTCTCAACAGAAAAGTCTATTCTTGGAAAAGGCCAGACAGGGAATGGAAATAACAGCTCTGTGTTTCTTTGTCTGTAGTGTCAATTATTTAAAGCTCAGCAACAAAACAAAAGCATTAACATTCATGTCCCTGTACAGCAGTTTCATGCCACCAACATCCTCTATGTTTTTGTTGAGTCATATGAGAGCAATAACCATAATCGGCATGGATATATCTCCATGATACATTCCTGGTCAAAATTATCACTAAATGTAAAATGAGGAAGGATCAATGACTGTTCCTGATTCAAACAGTGCCTGAAAGAGCTTTCTGTGTTTTCTGATTGCTGAAGCTTAAATGGGATACACAAACCAGTATTTTATAAAGCTTTTATGTAAATATTTTCATGGGAATAGTTAGTTGATTAAATAAAAAAAGGCCCATTTAACCATAGTGATTGAAGGAAAATTACAGTCTGGGAAAAATGTGTTCAGTAGCCAGCTTCTATTAATCACCAGGATGTCTGAGCCTTTACCCTCTTACTGTGAAACGGATGTTTGGGTCAAAATATTCCATAAACTGAGGTTGATTCCAGCAGATTCTCGGAGCTGCTTAGTGAGATTGTTTAGAAACAAGCTTCAGTTTAGGAGGACTTTGTTTTTGTCCCTGATGTTTTTCCTTTTTCTTTTCCTTGGTTTTAGTAGTTAAGAGCTTAGATTTTTTTTTTTTTTTTAGGTAAGTATAAACTGGATTAAGCATTTTCAGCAGGTTGCCTCTGTGAAGCCAACAAAAGCTTAAATATGTTTGTTATGGATGAAAATAAAGTTGCTGACACAGTCTGCCAGGTCTGCAAACG